GCTGAGAGTCATTGCAGTAGGCTGGTACAGTGACAACAGCATTGGTAAGAGTCTTCCCAAGGTAGGCTTCTGCAATTTCCTTCATCTTTGTGAGAACCATAGAGGACACCTCCTCTGGATATTAAATTTTGGTCTCTCCTTTATATTCTACTTGGACCTTGGGCCTGCCTGCATCGTTCACCACCATGAAGGGCCAGTGTTTCATATCAGACTGCACAACAACATCATCAAATCTTTGTCCAATAAGACATTTGGCATCTAATACTGTGTTAGTAGGATTCATTGCAACTTTATTCTTTGCCGCATCACCAATCAATCCTTCGGTATCGGTAAATGCGACATAGCTTGGAGTGGTCCGGTTGCCTTGATCATTTGCAATGATCTCCACTTTCCCATGCTGAAAGACCCCCACACAGGAGTAGGTGGTGCCAAGATCAATGTCAACCACAGGGCCCTTGGACATGGTTGCTTAGTGAAGGTCCCGGGTGGTGGAGGGGAAGAACCGTACCTCAAGTCCCCTGCTGTGCTAAATAAGCAACTAGTTTTGCAGGCTGAAAAAAAAGAACTATAGTTTTATAACTGATACCTATATAGAGAATTCTGAACTTATTAATAACACCCTATCAAAAGCAACTCTTCAGGACCACTCCTCAGAAATGCAGAGTGCCAACAGAGTGCTTACTCTAGTGCTTTGGGTCCTCTGGTTGGTGACATTATCTAGTTGGTGGATTAGAACTCTATGCCTTTGGGTTGGCAATACAATTCCTTACCAATAAGCCTGTAGAGCTCCCTATATAGTCTCCAATAGCCCTTCGAATACATAAGTATCTAATATTGAGATACATATCAGTGAAGGATCTCTAGGACTAGGCTTTTACCCCCATGTCTTATATTCTTACCCTAAGATTTCCCTCACACACACTATCCCCTCCTCCATACCCACTGATTCTGATAGCATAGTGCATAACATTTTGGACTGTTCACTAAGAGGTTTAAATTAACCAGCTGCTTCTCAGGAGAAAGATGGGAAATCTCTTCCTGTAAAGATTTACCATTTCAAAACCCAATGGAAGGTAGCTCTGGATGGTATGTTGTTGTTAACTGCTGTCAAGTCATAGGTGACTCATAGCAACACTGATGTTGTTGTT